AAAATGTTCAGCATGGGCATATATCACTGCTGTCAAGGTTTCTTTCTTAGAGAGGGCAAGTTTATCAATAAATTGCAGTGAGCAGAACATTGCTGCTGAATGGGAACTTCATAAAGAAAGAAAATGTCCAGGAAAGGCGGGTATAAAAGACTTGAACACCTTTTTCTTTTCCATGCTTTGCAGAAGTCCTTCACTGAGCATGGCTGTGTGAGAGCTGCATAATCTTCCAGACAAAGGGGGCTGGGCAGTATCATTTCATTGTGCTATGGCTCTCATCGGTTGGAAGGGGCTTGGAAGACAGGGCAAGCTCTGCCCAAATCTTCACTTGGAGGTTCTGGAGCAGCCTCCCAAGTTGCTGGGTGGTAGAACTGCCATGGAGCTGAGAGTGTGAGCTGATATCCAGGGGCTCTCTTGGGTGCAGCCCATCTGTGGTGTGGTAAGGACCCACATGTTCTCCCCAGCTGCCAGGAGGGTGAGGATGCTGCTCATGAAGGTGAAGAACACCTTCTCTGTGCCCTTCATTCTACCCAGCAGCTTCCTAGAAAAATCTCTGTCAAGACTCTTTAATAAATTTTGAGTTTTCTTTTCATAAAACAGCATTTGCTTCTTGATGGAAAATTTATATATTTTTTCAACTGAAGAATGAGCAGTAAAAGCCAAGAGAGTTTGGACAGATATGCGGAAAAAATTCTTTGGCACTGTGGGCAGTGACTTGTGGGAGTCACTGTTTGGATGTCTTACGCATCTGCTTTCCTCACCAAGCCCCAGGATGACGGTATCTCCCAAAACACGGTGTGGTAAGAATGCCAGTGTGTGGGAGGGAAAGAGCTTGTCTCCTGGGGAAGGCCTCAAAGCCCCTTCACAGCATTTTGAGGCATTTGGGCACCTTTGCTACTCGCGAACAGTGAAGTTTCAAGTTCAGATTTTTCTTCAAAAAGATAATAAGCATAGCTAGGAGGAACAAAGCCCCTTTCCAAGCTCTGGCTAAAGCTTTTTTTTTTTTAACTTTGCTGAGAGGAGGAGGACAGTGAAAGAACCTTCTCCATCATCTCCTACTAGTGCTCTTGTTTGGATGACCTAGAGCTCATTCTCTCCTATCTCCTTCACTTGCCTTTGCTATGGACTTTGAAGAGCAGCATCGAGGAAGCAAACTTTTGATTTTTCACATACTGAGATGAAGACAATTCATTTTCCATTCCCTAGCAACTGCTTATATAAACATCTACCTGACAAGCTGTAAAGCTGGGAAAAAGAGCTACAAGCAAACAGATACTGTTAATAGTTTTTCTACCTAAGTGGTATAACAAGAGCAAAAGGAGTGTTAGATTCAAATGGAGATCATGGTTTGCTTTCCTTGACATGCATGCAATCAGAATGCTCAAGTACTGAATCCAGTCATGTTTTCCCAGCAGCGCTCACCATTTTTCTCAGTTCTGGCTTCTCCACATTGCATTTTCCCACAGCTTTATTGCAAATTAAACAAGCAAAGATACTTTAGCAATGCAAAAACCACAGATCCCGACTGATTTTGATTTGCTAAGAGTTAACTCAATTGTGTGCACATTCCTGCTTTCTACATTTACTTCTCTTCTTGCCCAGTTCAACCCTTGACCACGCTTGCTGGTGCAGGAGCACCATCAGTGCACCATTGCAAGAGTCTCCAGTCTCCTAAATCTCTCTGAGGTGATTCCTTTTCCTCTCACCAACCTATCACTGCTCAGAGGCCACCACATGAAGTCTGCAAATTACTCAGCTTATCTAAAGAAGAGAAAACAATCACTTTGACAGCTGGCTTGACCACAAGAGTGAAGGGGTATTATTTGTTGATTTGTTTTTGTCGAAAAAATTAATCAGGATCTAGTCTGGACTAGAGGGAAACGTTGTGAGGATCTGAATAATAAATGATGTAAGTTGGACTGGCTGCAAAAACAGATGAGTGATGACTTGTTTTTGTTTTAAATTTCTCCATAAGAAGATATGTTCCGAGAAATCTTTGTTGAAAAGGGACACAGAAAGGCAATTACAGAAAACATGAATTCTGGTTTTCCATCCCTAAATGAAGGCACTTTTTTTTTTTTTTTTTTTTCTCTAATTTGATTTTTAGTTTTAAAAAATCCCTAAAAGCAGAAGTGTCAGTTTTCATAACATGAGAATGGGAGTCCGAATGGTCCAACTGGAGTCTGAAAGGTCTTAATCATTTAGACAGCCATTTTGAAAAGGAACACAGGTGCTAGGGTCTCACTGACAGCCCAGTCTCCCACAGCCATCAGTGAATCTTGCAATGCTTGAAATATTTATTGAGGATTACTCATTGTTGAGTTGGAAGTCACTGATATCTGTATCTGAGCAAGTCTGTCAGCCCTGCAAAAACACAGGGCACAAAGAAACATGAGACCAACATGAGAAATAGGTGAGAAATTTTATTAATACCTTCTAAGAGAAATAATAAAAAATGCAGATTTTGCATAGTCTGCTAGACAGTGATTTGCAATTATTAATCTGTTGTGTTTATAGCACTTTCATCTCCTTCACTGATCTGCTTTCCATCAGCTTTAGCTTTTTCTTCAACAGCATTTTGACTAGATGTTTTGAAGTGCACAAAGTGTAAAGAAATGCTAATTTAATAAACCAAATGAAAATGTTTTGTGATTGCTCTTACATTATTTTATAAATCAGCTGTTTCTATCTTACTCCTAATTCTGTCTTTCACAGCAAATATAGAATTATTAAGAATTGTTTCTTCCAGATTACTGAACTGAAATGAGCATATCTCACAGATACTGGTCAAAAATACATAGCCTCTTTCTACTCTTAGCTCAGTAATGATCTTCGGCATTTGTCAGTATTTTTATTCCAACTGTCTATCCAGAAACTGACCAAATCTGGTCTGGAAAATTAGTATGAAAAAAAAACCTCTACAGAAAAGCATTTTAATTCCACTAAAATGTTTGTTAGAGCAAGACAAAGTTACAAATCAGCAACATGGAGGTAGTAAGCCCAGGCTGGGTAATGGTCAGCTGAATTACTCCCGTGCTACAGCAAATATATGAGGAAGAGTAGTGCAACATGAACAGATGAAGCTATTTCTTCTTATTCAGAAGATATACTCCATGTTTCCCTTCTAATGCTTCTCAGCTGGATGAGAATACCAGATAATTGAATTTACAGCTTTGGAGAAAAATCAGATCTATTTAGGAATGGTAGGATTCCTTTTCAGATAGCAAACAAACATTTTATGAGTGGCAGTATGCTTTGTAAGACTCCTTTCTTTGGCATTCCTCTAACCAAGGCTGCGTGGATCAGGGTTGGGGCAGCCAGGCAGGGGTATGGAGCTTCCTTCTGCAGAGCTGACTCACCCAGCACTGCTTCCACTCTCACTTCTTGCCCTTGTCCCTGTCCCCTTCCCTCTTCTTCCTCATGGAGCTGGGTGAGATGACCCCCTGGCTGTAATAGCACTTTCATCAGCATCTTCCAGCTCTTTTGGAAAAACACCACAAACATATTTACCATGTGTGATGCTAGATCAGGAGCCATGGTAACCTGCAGTAAAGTGTAGTTTTTCAAAAGAATCCTGTGCAGGTAGCATGCAGATGGCTTGCCTTTTTGTATTGACAATGGATAGAGTTCCTCCTCTTACAGCTTGGACGTTTTCAGCAATTTATCTTCAAACTTGAATTAGCTAATGAAGTCGTTCTTTTTTTTGTTGTTGTTGTGACTGAGACTCAGATCAAGAGTCTCCTAAACAAATTCCTTTTTGCCTTGATGGGAATGTGTTTAGGGTCTTCATCCAGACTGATGAAGCCTGCACATTTGCAGTAGGTTGCCAGCAGTATATGCAGACAGTTATTTATATATGTATACAGATACATACACATACATATGCTTGTAGTATTTACCTCTATATAGTCTATAATCGTGCATATATGTGTATTCTATACTTATTTTATTAATTAATTTAATGTCTTTGGTATTAATCGCAGCTAGATAACTTGAATTTTAGTTAGAGGATATAGAGCAATTGCAGGTGGAGCATTGCCTGGCTGTCTCAAGTTGTCGTCTGAATACACCACAGACCCAGATGTCATGTTTCTTTATCCATTAAGCACTGTACCCCTTTGTGGGAGCAGAAATCACAAATCACAGTCTGCAAAAAGAATAAGCTGTATGAACAACATCTTATTACAGTGCTAGGAATTGTACTAATGAAACAATATCTGATTTGCAGGCATGTGAGGGTAAGATCATTATCACACAATAGGTGTGTCAAAATAGTAGGATCATCCCTATGGTTTAGAGAAGAACTGGATTAGGAAAAAAGGGATATGTAAACCATCAAGGTTTTAGCAGGACATTTGCCTTCTTTTGCCATCTTCTTCACTGGGAAGATGGAGCAGCAAGGAAATGAAATTCTAAATATATTTAAGAAGCGATGTTGGTGACTGAGGTGATGTTGTGCTAGTAAAACCTTAGGGTAATCCCAGGAAAGGGTGCTCTCTGGTCACAGTTTAAAGGAACCTATACAGCTGATGCCCAGTCCAGGCAGAGATGGAATTATTATTGCAGATGTAAATTAAATGGTGTATTATTTATAGAGCATTTCTCTACTATGCATTTTCAAAAACAATAATAAAAAAAAACTGAGCAAGGCTCCCTAGGCAATGCATGTATTGGAGAAATTCTACTGCAATTCTAACATACAGACACATGTAGGGAAATGAGATACAGAGTAGCTTCATTATCTTCAACCTCATTGATTAAAGTGTGTTTCTTTGCAGTTTTTTTTTTTTTTTTTTTTTTTTTTTTAAGTTGAACACAAAGCACAAGCAGTAGAAGCTAATTACCAAATTAACTAAAAAGATAAGCACTGGGAACTTTCTACCCCTCAGATCCTCAGCTTCTGATGTTTTTCAAGGTCTTGATTAATGAGCATCACCTGAAGGTCTTGTTTATGCTATTTATCTGCTGCTGGCCACTGCAAGCATTCCTAGTGGTGGCCCATGGAGAAAGACAGTGGGATCTCTTTGCCTACTGAAGGTATTGTACAATTGCTTTGCGTTTCTAGTATGCCTCAATGAAAGGGATGTTATAGAAAGACCTTTTTTGTGACTGATTTTTCACAGACTTTGGGTGTAAGGAGAAATGAGGTTCCATAATATGTTTATTCTTGGGGTTTTGTAACTTATGACATGGTTATTTTTTGTTGATATTTTAAGGCCTGAATGTAAGAGAAAGAAATGATAATCCACAGTAGGATTAGACGCCTGGGGATCTGTGCTTATTTCTGTCAAAGCTCTTTCTCAGTTTTGTATGTGTGAGAGAACCAGTCTCTGCCTGGCTGTTTTGGGGGAGGATGGTTTGGGGTGGGGTATAGACACCTGTAGCAGCAAGGTTGAAAGGTACCTACTATCCTGCTGAAAGAGAAAGGTAGAGGAGATGGAAGAGGAATTCACTAGTCACTGAATTGTACTCAAACTTCCCACAAACCTGTAACCCTGATGAGGTTTGAAATGAAGCCTGGGAAATTGGCTGAAATAACTTCCTTATGTAAGTGCCTGTTACGCTGAGAATTTCTATGGCTGTTTAAAGAGCTCTGGTGGTTCCTGTTATGCACCTGCTCTCTGGTTGCTGTGAGGGATTTAGGCTGTAGCCTGGTAGCCACAGATCTGCTTTGGCCCTGTCCTGTTTCTGCTTGACTAAACCATGTGCCTGTGAGCCAGCTGCTGCCCTGCACTGGCCAGTGCCCTGCCTTTCACCTCTCTCTGTAGCTGAGAAATAGTGCTCGGCCATCTTTCATTCTTATTGCTCCTTTATTTTAAGCCACTTTTACAGTGATGGTTGCTTTCCCACTTTCCATTAATGAAATCTATAAATTCCTCTCTCCTTTCTTAACTAACATTCTGTTGAAGCCTCTCATCTTTCAGCTCTCTTTTACTATTAACATAATGTGTGTCTTTTCACTTCCACCTGTCTCAGTCTGAAAAGTGATTCTGAAATTGCTTTAATCTTTGATGTTCTCTCTGCAAGAACTTGGTGGGATCTTATTTTAGTGACAAAAATAAGCTTTTTGTGCTAGAGCTGCCAAATTAACATTGGTAGGATAAAACAAAGTGAATCTATTTCTTTATTTGTGTGTTGAAAGGAAACCTATTTATGTTAGAACTATTTGCTCATGCCATCCCAGAGCCTGCTTGTGTAGCTAAGAAAAGACTCAGGTCCCAGTTTCCAGTTGTCTGCCATTCTGAAAGATGTCTACAGACTTGGGTGGACAAAGCTTGTCTTATTGGTGCCTGTGAAGTTGCAGAAGAAAACTAGTTTTCAGATCAGAGGCTGAATGTGCAGTCAGTTTAGTGCCTGGAGGTGAGAAAGAGCAATTTGCTTATTTGTATGCTGCACAGGCTCAATGTTGAAATCTTCAGTGCCATTTTAGTAACAGTTTTCCCCTAAAATATCAGTGTTCCTGAAAATCTTAGTAGTTAAATTCCAGAGGTTTTTAACAACTGGGTCCGTGCCATTGGTTTTCCATTGGGACGCAGATAGGGAGCCCTAAATCTCCCTGGGCTGCTGTGAGTGCTGTGCATCCCATATCTGCCCCTACTGCCTTTCCTGGCCTCTGGAAAGGAGGCCCCTTCATCAGCTTCAGCGCAAGGTGCGTAACTGACTGCCCTTCTTGAAAGGAAGATGCAGAGGGGTAAAACTGGGCACTTCAGAGAACTGTCTTTGTAAGTACATTTTGTAGGTTTCCCTTATTCTGGTAACATGATTCATTTTTCTGGAATGACCCCCATTTCACAAGATGTGTGTGTCACACTATCTTGCAGTGAGCATTTTTTTCATTGTGATTTGTTAAACTTAATGTAAAATGTGCTTTAATGTGTTTGTGGTGGTTTTTTTTGTTTGTTTTTTGTTTTTGTTTCTTTTTTTTTTTAGTTTTGAGATCCTTTTAACAAATGAAAACAGGTAGCACTTATTTTTATTTATTCTTTCAAAATAATGCAGTTCTAACCATTAAGATTCACAGAGGTAGTATGTCTGTTGATACTGCTGCTTACTTGCTTTCCTGTCTCTCTGTAACCAGCACTCAACTTCTGCTTTTTTACTAAAACAGTGTTTCAGTGTTTTTGGTGAGGTGGAGATAGACTGAATCATAGCAAAGGGACTCAGAAGAACTTCCAAAGATAATACTCCTCTCTTCTGAGTGGGATCAGCTGTGGTTCTGTTGTGCCTTACAGATGTTTCAGAGTTTCTGTTTTTAAAGGTATCAACTAGAGGAGTTTGGTAATAATTCCAATGCTTCACTACATTTTTAGGGTTTGTCAATATGGTTTTCTTATTTTCATCTGATTTCCTTTTCCACAAGTCATTCAATCGACTCTTCTCTACTATAAATTCTACCTGAGTACTGTCTTGTTCCCTCAGCCTCTTTCTCTCAGTAATGAACATCTCATTTTTCACCCTTTCTCTCATAGATCACATTTTCTTATTTTCTGATCATGCTGTGCTCTCTGCTCACTTACTAGCTCTCCTGAAGCAGAGTGCATTGAGATCTATTTGTTCTGGATTTGGGCTAGTGCAGTACTGTTCTAAATCATTTCAGGGAAGCAGCAGGATGAGAAGAGAACCTAGCAATATCTTCTCGAAAGAAGAAAGCAAGAATTTTGTGATAAAGCCAAGCAAATGGTTAAGTTTTCCAAAAGAGTTCAAGATTTAGAGAATAGAAATCCCATGAATCCCTTTGGTGATGCAGAAGCAGTGAATAAAGTATAGCTGATATTCCCAGACTGAGGAGCTTGTTTAAATCTAGCTGTGAAGGATTTTGTGGTAAGGAGTTGTAATGATATGAGGGAAATAGTGTGTGAGCAATTAAAGGGAAAAAGAAGTCCCCAAAGTGGGGTAATGAAGGCTGTGCTGCATTGGAGGCAAGCTGCTGGGGCTGTAATTTAGTGAGAGAGACAGCAGTTGCATTTCTGTTGGTAAGTCTTAATGAAACTGAACTATTTATAGTGGGACAGTTGCTCTAACAGTTTCATTGCCAAGATTTTAAGGAAAGACCTTAGGTCATAAAAAAATGACAGCGCGACTAGCATCTGAGATAAAGAATTTACTGTGTGGGAGAGAAGGGCAAAGAACATGTTAATTATACAACATATGCCTACTTTCATTCATATGGATGGGGAAGGAGAATATGTTTCAATGGATCATCATTACTACTTTGTTTGGAGATGTGTTTATATTGAGAAATACCTGCATCAACCAAGGCTGGGATGGTTCCTGTACTTGGGCAGCACATGCTGCTGTCAACCCTGCCCACAGTGCTGGGCTCAATGCTGTGTCTCCATTTCAGCTCCCCCTCGTATGAAGTGAGAGGAACATATTTTGAGGCTGTGTCATGCCTCAGGTTCTGTGGACAACAAATGCATTCTCCAGCAGGGAGGATCTGGTTCTGAAGTTATTTCTCAATGAATCTACCAGCTGTATCTTTGGGGGGGAGGGGGGGGAGCATTTCCAACCCTGATTGCTTTTCTGCTGAAGTTGCAGCAAAAGCAAAGCTTCAAGAATCCATTCCACGCCCTGCTTTCTAGACACCAAAATGTCCCGTGAAGGACAAGTCAACTGTTCAAAAGTCGCAGTGGTCCTGGAGAGGTTCCTCTCCTTCACCATCATTCAAGTCCTTCTATCTGTTTCCCACCTTTCATCCTTTTCTCTGGATTATCCTCTAGGGCTCTTACATTATTTGGAAAGGTGCCTCTGCTATCTGAAGAGTAATTGAGCAATCAGATGCCGTCTTACAGAGCTAACTGCTGCTGGAAACCATGAGTATGAGGGAAGTGTGTGTGTAGGGGGGAAAGGGGGGGTGGGAGAAATGTTGAAGATTAAAACCTATATAAAATGATTGAGAAAAGGTAAGACTGGACAGGGCTGCCTTTACTTTCCTCATTGCGAGGCACTCACTTATGCAATACACAGCTCTCCTCGCTGCTGCCAGTCATCATGTCTGTGGTTTGTGTCACACTGTGCTATGCAAAAACCCGGCGAAGTGATGGCTATGGTAGTCTAATGCCAAAGCATTCATTTTTGGGGATCTAGTGCAGAACGGCACATGTGCTTCAAGAAGCCACAAAAGATGAGAGAAATTGTTTTGAAGACATTAATCAAAGACCTGAAACTCTATTATTTTTTTTTTTTCGCCATCCTGAAGCTCAGGATAGAAGAGATTTGGGTTTGAATATTTCTTTCAAAAATCAGCTGCCAAGAAAATGGGCTCACATCCAGGGCTTTGCTGGGGAAATGAATGGCAGGGTTCCTGCTGGCTGTGGCAGCACAAAGATCTGGCTCTTGGTTAGGATGCAGTAAGCAGGGGAGAGGCTGGTCCACCTCCTTTACCCCACTCAGAAAAAACTCACTGGAGCTTGTGTTATGGTAAGTCAACAGTTCTTAGTGGTTTTGGAGACATTTGGACTGCATTTGTTCATGCTTTGGTGGGCAGCTGGATTGGTTTGGGGTTTTGCCAATGATAGCTGGTCTTTCACCATTAACATCTCAGACAAATATATTGGATTTTCATTACTCCAGGTCTCATCTTGGAAAGCCCACAACTTTTTATGTGCAAAATAAATTTTCCTTATATAAATCTGCAAGATACAGTGAGTGAGGACAGAAGGAGGAGTAAGCAGGAGGGGAAGCAAACTGTGAAAGAAAACTGGTGACGGGTGGAGGAGAGAAGGGAGGGAAGGCACAGCATGGAGTAGGGCAAGCAGAGGATGCTCAGGGTAAATTCTTTGTGTACATTTCTGACCTGCCCTCCTGCTGAATCACAGGTTTGGATTTTCAATTTAGCCGTCACCTTTGGAAAAACAGTAATATGAATAGCTGGCTGATTGCTATCAGATAGAAATGGACCCTGTTCACTTAAAAGTCCAGATGCACTGCTAGGGTAGTTCAAGGGTTAATCATCAGTTATACAAATCCCCAGCAACTGAAGCATATGTCCAAGCTGATGGATAGAAATTCTCTTGCTTTCTGCTGAATGTAGGAAACCATTATGTTGGGGGAGGAAAAAAAGAAAATAATGAGAGGGCAGATATTGAAATTGCCTGTGTTCCAGGGCTCAGCCATACAAATCCTCACATTGCCTCATACAAGAAAATCTCTGATAAGGTTCATTGCCTTGTTCCAAATGAAGTTCATCCAAATTAAAGTACTTTTAAATTTCACATTCTGCACATATGTGGATCACAAATGCAGATGGTATTATGGACAAAATTGAATAGCCTGATCTGCATGTTATGATTTCATCTCCTTCCTCCTGGAAAGATGAGAAATAATCACAAATTCTTGATCTACTGGAAGACAGGCTTTCTCCAGTGGTAACATGTATTTCCTTTTCTTGTTGGGAAGTTCTATTGCATTTCCATTTTTTTTTTCTGCTGAATTCCTGGAAGAGCTGAGTGCTGTGAGCTGAGGCTCTCTCATCAATGCAGAGATGAGAGCAATGCAGACAGGGTGCTCACAGGATGCTCCTCACCCCATAAGAAGCCCAGATCCTCAGGGGAGTTGGCAAGCAGGTGGCAGTCTGCAATACTTCACATCCTGCAGCACAAGAGTCCTGCCTTAAATTTTAAGGAGCTATAAGTCACCTTTGAGGGTCTTGTATGTTAACATGTTGCCTACAGATCACACATGGGGCTGAAAGGTTCTGCACAGGGGGATCGGTACAGTCAGTCTGTTGGAAAGCTTTTGGCCTTTGTGATACTTCTGTTGACTCACGTGTATGGGAAAGACTCCTTTTATCTCCATGAGTATTGCCTCGCATGGTAAAACCTCATGGCTATATCAGAGAACATGACTAATTATTGGATTGGAGACTGATCGATTGGTGCATGAAAGACTCTGAAGTAGTTGGGATCTGGATGGTGGTGCAGGCAGTCTTCTCTTTTTTGTTTCTACTGCCAGCAGCAGAGTTTCACAGCTAATGCCCTTGCAAAGGAGCAGAGAGGAGGCTTTGAAGCACCCACTCTGATCTCTGTAGGGGAGCTGGGAGCCTTCTGAGAGCTCAGAGCAGAGACACCCTTTGGGCCCAGGTTGTTTCCATTCCTTAGAAAGGAGCATAACTCAATTCCCACACCGCTTTTAGCACAGGTCATCTGCAAATGCCCACACGTTACAGAATATACTGTCAAAAATAATGATGAATTGCATGCTGCACTTGTTATATGCGAAGAAATTTAACTCAGTATTTTACCCAGCAATCCTCAAAGTATCCCTAGATCATAATATTCAGTTTATATTTATTGTTTTTTTGCCCCATGTTGCTTTGCTATTTCAGGTGTTCTGGCATATTCTACTCTGAATTTTCTTCTCCCCTTATGACTAATCTATGATAAAGGTATCTTTGCAATCACAAGGGAAGAAGCAGCTCCATATTGAAAAGGGCCTTGCCAAATGAGGCAGGAAGGAAAACAATACTTCAACATTTATTATTCCCCTGCATTCATGCAATGCAAACAATTCAAATAATATTCAGTTGTATCATTCCTGTTAAACAATGCAGTGCTATCAAGCTTGAAGGGAAAGCTCTTTCCCTTACAAAGATTTCTCTTTTCATGGGAAGTTTGATGTCAAGGTCTAATCCTGTTTCTGATTCAGCTTCAGATATGAAACTGAGTCCACTTAAACTTGTCATATAACTTCAGATTCAACCAGTGGTTGAAGATCTGCAGCAGACCCTGATGATTTTTCTTCTCACAGTACACCATTGTAATTAATAAAGATTTTGCTGAATAAATGGACAAAGAAAGGACCTGTAATGACGGGCTGGCAAAAGTCAAGGTAAGAGAAATGAAAAAATCCAGGAAGCAATGAAAGTTCCAATCGGAAGTTATGCTGGTGTACAAATTTAAGCAGGGTTAGCATCAGGCTTAATTGTCATTAATACAGTATTTAGTTTTTATTTTCTATTCCTGTGTCATCCTTATTTTGTAGTCAGATGCAACTTTTAAGCCTTTATCACAAGAGGGGCTGTTGCAATGGCTGAGTCTATAACCCTGAGGCTGACATGTCTCCCTCTTTGCTACTAATTGCTCCCATTTTGCAGATGACCTTGGAGATCTACCATCATTCTATCAGCAATCAGCCTTTTCTTCAGGATGGGGACAGCACATGTTCAGGTCAGTAGCAAGCCAAGGTGCCACTGACTGAACATGTGCTGTGAGATAGTGAAAGATCCGCCTCACTCCCCAGCCCTGCTCAGACAGCCAGGTGGCAGCAGGCTGCCTGTCAGCCTTGCACAGCTCAGCCTCACACCTCACCAGAGCAATGAATCAAAGCACTAAGACCTCCAGTTAATATTTTCACCAAGTTGAACTGTGTGCTGCTCTGTATATCATCCACAAATGGCACATTGTGAAAGAGTCACTACCTAAGTTCCAAAATATATATCTTTTGGCATCTCCCGCTTCATAGGCGAGGCCACTTAAAGGCTGCTTTCAGCAGCTACAATAATGCTTCTCTGTGGGAAGCAGGAGAAATATGCCAGCTCAGCACCTGCTACTTGTTCCTGCTCTCAGGACACTTCAAACCATTACAGACTTGTAACTGGAAATCTCAGTGCTGTCTTCATGCCCATTTTCACAGCCCACAACACCCATTTTGTCTAGGTCTGGAGTCCTCAGTGTCAGAGAGGCATGAACCTGCTGGAGTGTGTCTTGAGGAGGGCCACAAAACTGAACCACGGGGTGGAACACTTCTGTGAGGACAGACTGAGTGCAGGGGCTGTTCAGCCTGGAGAAGGCTCCAGGAGACCTGAGAGTGGCCTCTGGTAACTAAAGGGGGCACTCTAAGAAAGGAGGGGGCAGTTTCTTTAGTAGGGTCTGTCGTGATAGCGAAAGGGGAAGTAGTTTCAAGCTCAAAGAGATTTAGATTGAACATTAAAAAAAACCTCTTCCTATAATTAAGGTAGTGAGGCATTGGAACAGTTGCTCAGTGAGAGAGGTAGATGTCCCTGTACATTGCAGGATGTTGGACGATATGACCTTGTAGGGTCTCTTCCAATTCAAAAGATTCTATGATGATTTTATGATTCATCTCCTCTAATAGGGGATGAAAAGAGAGTGAGATGTGCTTTTTTTTCTTTTAACACTGTAGCTTCCTTTGAAAGATTGTTTCGCAGTTGGAAAAGGAATTACCACCTTGGGCTCATCATCAGTGCTGTAGTACTGTTCTCCCCTCACAATCAGATGTGTGTTGAGCAGTGATTGTATCACCACTTCATGACCACTCTGCACAGTAGTGGATTCCACTGGGGGGTTTTAGTAAACATAATTTGTTGCCTAAAGGCACATTTTATGCCTTTCTTCAACTTGTGTCTGGTCAACAGAACTGAATGTCAGCCCTTTAATTTAAAGCTGGACACTTAAAGTTGGATTTTATAGGGAATTAAGTTTTCTTTGCTACCTGGAAGCTACTCCAGGGAAATAAGTATTTGTACTCCAAAGGCACCCTAAAACCATTTCTCTCCTTCCAAATTGAAAGCAGGGTGTTGGAGGGACCTCAGGCTGCTGCTTACTAGCAAACTGCTAGTGAATCAATGAATTTTCCTTCCAAAGGGATATTCACTTAAGGTTTAAAAAAAAAAAAAAAAAAGTGAAAAGCACATTTACATGTATACAGCAGGGGCATTTCTATTATGCTTTGCAAGCTTGGGCTATTTCGACAACTTGTTACTCTACATTAATTTAGCTTTTCTTACTCTCTGATTCAAAGCCTTTTGTCTTACTTGAGTATTTTAACGTCTTTATGATTGCAGTCCTGTCCTGCTGACCCTAAGTCACTGATGGGGTCAGACCACCCTGTGACCTACAGTCACCCAGAGGCTCTCCCTGCCTCTGCTCTGTCTGATGAGAGACACTTACCCTCAGAATTATTAGCCTCGTATCTTGTCATCATCACATGTCTTCCTTGTCTTTCAGCACTGAAATCAATTGCTACTACTGATTAGCTTCTTCAGTTTCTTCTAAAAATTTCAGCTATCAGCTTGTGTGACTTCCTGCATTCTGGCCTCCATCCTCCATTAGGGCAACTATCTAAAATCACCGCAATGAGACACTCGGGGGTCTTTGGGGCTCCTGATGCAACCTATCTTTATCTGAAGGCTATAAAAACCCATGTGAACTGCAAGCTTTGACTGTGGGACCTCTGCCAGCAACGTTTTCTCATCATTTCTTTTCTCTTATCTGTTTTCAGCCTCCTTTAATTCCCAGAGCAAAGCCCGACATTTCCATCTCTTTGTATAGTTCTTAGCACAACAGGGTTTCCTTTCTTCTCTGAGGGAGTGAGATGTGGCTACCTGCTGCACCACTACAGAGAGCAAATGATACTTATTATTTAGACATCCTGGTGGGCAAGTCTGTAAATTTTTCAGGGCAGCCTTTTACACATAATTTAAAATCACTGACTTTTGAAAGATAGTAAGAAACCACTGAATAAGTATTTTCTTTTGTTAATCTCAAAGGAACAGTTTAAGTGACCAATAACAAATTTAGCTGCTTCTGCTTCTTCTGTCACTTTTAGCTCTTTTCTTTCTAACTTATTTATCCTATCTGTGCTGTCTAAGCTCTTTGTAAAATTGCAGTGGGATAGGTGGTCTGGAGTGGCTGTTAGTTGGTTTCATGGAGCTAAAGCCAATTTTCCTTCTCTGAGTTAGTACTTTGCTTTGGTTACTGCATTCATTTTGTTTTCTTTGGGGGGTTATTTTGAGATACTGTTTGTTTGGTTTTTTTTCTTTGTGGGGAAAAAAATTGTTTTGAATTTGCTATCCATAGAGCAAATGTGAAAAGGGGAATGAAATGAAGGGTGTGAATTCAGCTCTTTGCTAAGAGGTGGTGTGCTTCTGGACTGGAAGAGAAGCTCCATTGGCATGAAGGCCTTGCCTTGGGCAAGTCTTGCCTTCTAAAGCACCCACTGGTCCTCAGCAAGCTCATAGTTCAGCAGCTATAACTTGTCCTGGCAGCTGCTCTTGCTGGCAGCTCCAGCCCACTGCTAATGATGTGGCTGGCAATGTTTGGCAGCTGCAGATGACAGTGGGTTCCAGAGGCAGTTTGCTGGATTGGGCATGCTCATAGCATCACTACAATTGCAGTCAGTTTCACTGCATTCCCACAGATATTTGGAATAGACTTTGGAATTCTGTGCTCTTTTACTGAGGTGTGGCATGTTGTCTTATTTTGAGGACAGGGAGTTTCTGCCATTGTTCTTCATTTTTCTTTATATCATATTGCATCCAAGACCAGCCCAGGTCTTGCAGCACATTCACCCTGCTTTATATATTTGTAGAGGCAGGACAGAAGTTCAGTTCTCTTCTGAATGATGCCCAAGTTCAACACTGGCTAGTGCATCAATGTCTCGCGGCCTTGGACATTCCTTCAAAAAGAAGAGTATATGGCAGTGAGCTGAAACAAGAACCTGACCAGTGGTGCGATTAAACACACAGGTTTAGCAAAATCAGCTCTCCTTTCTGCCAAAGTAGTTACTGCAATGTTATTTATGGTCAAGAGGCAGCTTCATTTGGGGATTACACTGGCTTGAGGTTATAGGCAATATCTCTAGGTCACTTTGACCCTGCAAAGAGTTGTGTTGGTTTTTTTTTTTTTTTTTTTTGCTATTTGTTTGTTTGCATTTTTCTGTCTTAACAACAAATAAAACTGTGCCTCAAAGAATTGGGATGCTGACACTTGCTTGAGCAAGGGAGGCACACACTACTTCACTTCCCTGCTGTTACAATCTCCCATCTAACTCTGACTGGGAGGCATCTGACCAAGCAGAGGAGAAGCTGGGTCACTTTGGGAACCTCCTCTAGCAAGATCAGAATTTTGTGTCCAGAGGGAAGTCCACTCCTGGCTTGGGTCATCTGGTATACAGGGCCTTTGGCCTGTGCTAATTTAAGCAAGAAATTTTGCTTCAGCAAAAGGGAGTTAATATCACTTGGTTCTAGAATGGTCACATGTTCCCAGAGGGTTGGATAGTGACTGTACATGTGTGTGTTATTGATGTGCTTGGCATCTTTCAGTATGAACAAACTGTTGCAGCATGTGTTGCTTTCTGGGCTTTGTACTTCTCAGGTTGAAATGGGTCTTGGCTGCTTTCAGTGGCTGGGAAAGACAAAATATGGGCAGTCAACCTGGAGTTTGTATTTGCTGAGTTTTGAGTGTGTTTTCTTCATTTGTGTGTAAATGGCAGAATGCCCATGTTCCACTGGAAGGCTTTGGAAATTGTTTCCAATGTTGTCCCTCCAGCGGCCAGAGAAGTTGTACTCAATTTAGGGAAATGTATCAGCTTCCAACAGTAGATAAGCAATTAGGTTTTCTGTTGTTTGTTTTTTTTCTTTAGACTGTAAGTTCACAAGGCAACCTGACTGAAGAGACCTTGATCTTCAACTCTTCGGGAGTTAAAACTTCTTTAAATCTGTAGATATGAATATGGTAGGAGGGCCTCATTGGGTGCAAGAAGATAGCAAAAGAAACATTCTGCCTTTGCTATGCTCTGAAGTCTAGGTTTATGTTCCTGAACTGATACTGTACAGCCACTTCACAGCAAAAACTCCACAATCTGGACATTTTTCATGACATTTCCACCACAGCTTTAGCTCGGCAGGTCCAGGAGAGCTGGAATGTTTTGTACAGCACAGATCTGCTAGCATCAGCTATGTCTGTCAACTACAATTCTTCACATCTTTGCAGCAGTGTGATGTGCAAGGGGTTGCACAACATTAATGTATGGGTGCCATGGGCTGTACATCTGCTGTAGGACAGAATATCTGAGTTGGAAGGGACTTACAAAGATCTTTAAATCCAAATGCCTGATCACTTCAGAGCTAACCTAAACTTATGCAAGTTATTAAGGGTGTCATGCTTTCTTCCTCACAAGAAGAGCACTGCATTTCATGGAGCTCTGGCCTGGCCTCCCAACCCCAGGATGGGCAGGGTGCCTATCACTGTGTGAAGGCCATCCTTGCCCTGCACACCCCATCCTTTCCAGCATATTTCTGTACGCAGTGCTTGCTGATTCCATGAAGATTTGTCTTGTCCTCCACACTAGAATGGCTCTGTGGTAAAACTAAGACACAATAAGTGTGACTTAACTTCAGGCTTTTAGATACATTTCCAGATGAAATTTACAGATAAAATATATATTAAAAATATACTTTTTTGTATTTGTGTTTAACAGAGGGATTCTAGCTCTTTTCTATGCCTGTCACTTATGTTCTTTTGGTATGTCCTAGCTACAGAAAACTGGGGCTTCAGATGTTTCCTAGGGCTTTCCAGATGGCTCCTTAAATTTTATGACTCTACCTACCCTCTCTGACATTTCTTTCTTGTTAAGATTGGAGTACAAATGGAAATATTCCAGATGGCTTTAGCTGGAGCCAAGTGCCTTCAGTACTTCAGAGCTTCCCAGGCAGCCCACTAACTAACTGCCCCTTACTAGACTGTTAATGTTAAATTCCCCAAACTTTTTCAGAGTTACAAAAACATTAATTTGAACTATACAAAATAAATAAATTGTAGTTTGTTCAGTTACATTCATATCTTCAGTTTCTTTAAAAGACTATGTATAATCAATTTAATAATAGCAGACCCAGCTGGAGATTGACTTTGCCCGAACACATCTATGGCAGTTTCACACATTAGAATTGTAGGGGTTGGAAGGGACCTCCAGAGATTGAGTCCAACCCCCCTACTAAAGCAGGTTCCCTACACCAGGTTTCTTCCTCCTCTCCTCAAAAACCCAGTGGTTCTTGTGCGTCACAGTATATCCTGTAGTTTTGTAAGAATTATAACTGGTTCTCATGTAAACGGAGGTATATTTCCAAGATCTCCAAGGCTGGCTTTTCACAGTGAACAATGATGTAATCTGAATATGATTAAATATTGGAAAAGCAAAACTGGAGATATGAGTTTAACAGCCCTCATTGGAAATCTAAAATTTCTAGAGTTCTTCTTTCATTTTGCTATTGCTACAGTGTCTCCTATTTCTTTTAATATGCATATTCATTGAATATATGATTCAGACTGGACAATGCTCTGAGTAATTAGATCTAGCTGTTATTTCCCTTGTTAACTGCAGAAAAGTTGGACTAGGTGGCCTTTCAGGGTCCCTTCCAACTCAAACATTTCTATGATCTGTAATTACTGGGTATGAACATCACAACAAACATGAGGGTCTGCAAAATTCTGTACAGGCAGCTCTGAAAATAATGCCTCCTATTTTATTATGTTAGGCCATGACATCAGAGGCAGATGTTGGTGGTATGGCAGTAAAGCGTGAGCCTTCCCACCAATATTCTGTTAAATTTTTGTTCCACGTGACAAAAAGCAGCAGAGTCCCACTCAACAGCCCACAGGCTTCTCACAGCAACTTCATGGTTACTGGCCAGGACTAACAGTCGGCAACAATAATCAGAGGAATGAAACAGACCAGGGAGTCTGAGCAACCATGCCTCAGGGCCTCCCTTCTTTTCCCAACAGATCGTTCCATAGTGTTTTGCAGCAGTTTTGCCTTTCTTGGAAGGCTCCCTTGGTGTGAGTCTCCTATATGAAGCTGGTGTGCATGGGATCTGTGCATAACTAGTCCAGCTGAAAATTCCCAGTGTGGCCTGGATGCTTCATGGTATGCAGCAGGTCTCCCAGGACCTCCCTGTGTACTCTGAGGGACGCTGCATTACCTCACTTAGACATGGGCTCCTGTTCAAAATGTTCTCTCTCCCCCAGAGGCACGGCAGTCTGTGGGTACCTCACAGCCACCAATGCCTCTTTCCCCCCCCTACCCCAGCACCCTCTGCTCTCCCTAGGAACGTGTCCCCAAACCCCACACAGCAGCGCTCTCCTGCACCAATGCCTTTAGTGCTGCTGCTGTCCCGGACCCGCTGCCACCACAACGACACAGGCTGTAGCAATGATGATTTTATTCATTTCACGTCTGCTAGGAAATGGAGGTGATGATCTGGGAGAGGTTGGTGTCTACCCAGTAGAAGACATTGTTGTCATCAGAAGTGCCTTCAGCGCAGGAACCTTTGGTGGGCTGAGGCGTGTCCCGCCCCACCAGCTGACTGTTGCCATTTGACCCACAGGCTGCCAGATGGACAGAAGTGCTTCCTGGAAATCGCTCTCTGTTCCCATGGAAGCTGAGACCGTTTGTTCCCTGGAAGTGACACAGCACGGGCACAGAGAAAAGGATGCAGGCTCGTTTTGCAGGACTCTGATTCCTGCACCACTTTTCCAGCCTCACAGGACTGCTCAGGGCAGCCCGTGGGCTCACTGCACTTCTGGCAGGCCCTGTTTTGCATAGGGGTCTCCAGCTGGGTGTCAGCCCCGTAACCAGGCAAGTCTTTGGGGAGAACTGATGGACCTCTGGAGGTCTGTTTTCCTTAGAAGCGTTCACAGACCAGACCTTGGTGGTTCTCTGCTCCCCACCCGCAGTCCTCTGCATGCGTGTTGAATCTCAGCCGCGTACCACTTGCTGACGTTGCCTCCGTCTTCTCACGGTTTTGAAGATAACGTAAAGCAGACGGAGAACGCGGTAGTCTGTTAAGCGATCTCTAAGGAGACGGATCATCTGCTTAAGGAAGTCCCAAAGGTGACGCAGGGTGTCCGGCAAGCTGAAGGCCTTTTGCTCAGTGTGCTGGGACTGTTGCTTTGGGCCCTTTGGAAGGACAGACTCGCTGACCCTGTATGGGACCCATTTGGGGTGTGGAGAAAGGCCAAGCCAGAAGGGCCAGTTGGAGGCACGGCGCACAGCATGAATGGGCAGCCTCTCCTCAGGATGCACAAGTTTCTTGTCTCCATTCCAGGGACAGGTCTTCAGTCCAAACCAGCAGAGCCAGCTGGAGGGCTGACTCTTGATGTCACCCGGACTCTTCTCCTCACGAAGGACCTGGTTGTTGTTCCCATCCTGCATCTTGTTGGAGCAGGTGGCTACTCCAAACCAGCAGAGCCAGCTGGAGGGCTGACTCTTGGTGTCAGTCGGACTCTTCTCCTCGTGATGGATCTGGTTTTTGTTCCCATCCTGCATTTTGGTGGGGCAGGTGGTAAGTCCAGACCAGCAGAGCCAGCTGGAGGTCTGGCTCTTGGCGTCAACCAGACTCTTCTCCTCACGATGGACCTGGTTTTGGTTCCCGACCTCCATCTTGTTGGAGAAGGTGGCTACTCCAAACCAGCAGAGCCAGCTGGAGGGCTGACAGGTCTGGCTCTTGGTGTCAACCAGACTCTTCTCCTCACGAAGGACCTGGTTGTTGTTCCTGACCTCCATCTTGTTGGAGCAGGTGGTTACTCCAAACCAGCAGAGCCAGCTGGAGGTCTGGCTCTTGGTGTCAACCAGACTCTTCTCTTCATGAAGAACCTGGTTTTCATTCCTGTCCTCCACCTTGGTGGAGCAGGTGGTAACTCCAAACCAGCAGAGCCAGCTGGAGGTCTGGCTCTTGGTGTCAACCAGACTCTTCTCTTCATGAAGAACCTGGTTTTCATTCCTATCCTCCACCTTGGTGGAGCAGGTGGTAACTCCAAACCAGCAGAGCCAGCTGGAGGTCTGGCTCTTGGTTTCAACCGGACGCTGCTCCTCGTGAAGGACCTGGTTGTTGTTCCCGTCCTCCATCTTGGTGGGGCAGGTGGTTAGATCAAACCAGCAGAGCCAACTGAAGGTCTGATTCTTGGTCTTCAAGGGATGCTGCTCCTCAGGAAGGGGCAGCTTTTTGCTCCAATTCCAGACCCAGCTGAGATCGCTGGAACGGCCCGGAATTGAAGACATGAAAGGAACTAAGATCAGGAAGAGAGTCAGGCTGAACTTCACCCCGTTCCCTTCCATGGTTCACTCTCAACGCACAAATGGCTGTCACAGTGAGCAGAGCTCCAGCAGTGACCACCAGGACTGAGCAACTGCTCAATGTCTCTGGGCTGGGGGGGGGCTGCCAGCATGACTTAATAAAGACTGATGTCATGCTCCACCCTGCAATGTCACAATGCCTTTGGTGCACCCAGCTTGGGGCTGTGGACCCTACACCCAAATCCCACCTCCCCTTTTTCCAATCCATCTGCACTCTGTAATTTTCATGAGCACACGAGGTCCTGGAATCAGAGGACGGCCTGGGTTGAACAGGACCACAGTGATCATGTAGTTTCAACCCCTCTGCTATGACTAGGCTGCCCAGAGCCACATCCAGCCTGGCCTTGAATACCTTTGGGGATGGGGCATTCCCAGGGCCTCCCTCCCTTTCCCAACAGATCTTTCCATAGTGTTTTGCAGCAGTTTTCCCTTTCTTGGAAGGCTCCCTTGGTGTGAGTCTCCTCTATGAAGCTGATGTGCATGGGATCTTTGCAGAACTGGCCCAGCTGAAAATTCCCAGTGTGGCCTGGATGCTTCCCAGTTTGCTGCAGGTCTCCCAGGACCTCCCTGTGTACTCTTGGGGACGCTGCATTACCTCAATGGGTGTCATGGTGTTATGATTTTTGGTTATCAGTATTCCACACCATAACATCATGTGATGCACTGGGGGGTTTGACTTCTGATGCTCGAGTTCCGAATGTTTGTCCGATGGAGAAGAACTACATTTCCCCAGGAGGCTTTGTGGTCAGTGAGGAGATACAAGTCTGTGCAAGGTCACCTGATTCCTTCTTCTTTGCCTGGTGTGCTTCGCCGTCTGCTTTTCTTCATTCACTCAACTGGACTGCACTTCTCACCTCAGCATTGTGGTGAGGCCTATCTACCATTCAGGCACACTTTCTATCTCTCTCATTCAGCTTTGCTAATACTATATTTAGTAAAATTAGTTTGTTCCACCTCAGATTATTGCCGCTCTTTTCAATTATTTTGGGGTCCCCTGTTTCCCTTTTCTGGGGGCGCGGATCCACGGATCCCTCCGCCCCGCTGGTCACGGAACCGGGCCGAACCAGCCCGTAAACCGTTGACACTGGGACATGGGCTCCTGTTCAAAATGTTCTCTCTCCCCCAGAGGCACGGCAGTCTGTGGGTACCTCACAGCCACCAATGCCTCTTTCCCCCCCCTACCCCAGCACCCTCTGCTCTCCCTAGGAACGTGTCCCCAAACCCCACACAGCAGCGCTCTCCTGCACCAATGCCTTTAGTGCTGCTGCTGTCCCGGACCCGCTGCCACCACAACGACACAGGCTGTAGCAATGATGATTTTATTCATTTCACGTCTGCTAGGAAATGGAGGTGATGATCTGGGAGAGGTTGGTGTCTACCCAGTAGAAGACATTGTTGTCATCAGAAGTGCCTTCAGCGCAGGAACCTTTGGTGGGCTGAGGCGTGTCCCGCCCCACCAGCTGACTGTTGCCATTTGACCCACAGGCTGCCAGATGGACAGAAGTGCTTCCTGGAAATCGCTCTCTGTTCCCATGGAAGCTGAGACCGTTTGTTCCCTGGAAGTGACACAGCACGGGCACAGAGAAAAGGATGCAGGCTCGTTTTGCAGGACTCTGATTCCTGCACCACTTTTCCAGCCTCACAGGACTGCTCAGGGCAGCCCGTGGGCTCACTGCACTTCTGGCAGGCCCTGTTTTGCATAGGGGTCTCCAGCTGGGTGTCAGCCCCGTAACCAGGCAAGTCTTTGGGGAGAACTGATGGACCTCTGGAGGTCTGTTTTCCTTAGAAGCGTTCACAGACCAGACCTTGGTGGTTCTCTGCTCCCCACCCGCAGTCCTCTGCATGCGTGTTGAATCTCAGCCGCGTACCACTTGCTGACGTTGCCTCCGTCTTCTCACGGTTTTGAAGATAACGTAAAGCAGACGGAGAACGCGGTAGTCTGTTAAGCGATCTCTAAGGAGACGGATCATCTGCTTAAGGAAGTCCCAAAGGTGACGCAGGGTGTCCGGCAAGCTGAAGGCCTTTTGCTCAGTGTGCTGGGACTGTTGCTTTGGGCCCTTTGGAAGGACAGACTCGCTGACCCTGTATGGGACCCATTTGGGGTGTGGAGAAAGGCCAAGCCAGAAGGGCCAGTTGGAGGCACGGCGCACAGCATGAATGGGCAGCCTCTCCTCAGGATGCACAAGTTTCTTGTCTCCATTCCAGGGACAGGTCTTCAGTCCAAACCAGCAGAGCCAGCTGGAGGGCTGACTCTTGATGTCACCCGGACTCTTCTCCTCACGAAGGACCTGGTTGTTGTTCCCATCCTGCATCTTGTTGGAGCAGGTGGCTACTCCAAACCAGCAGAGCCAGCTGGAGGGCTGACTCTTGGTGTCAGTCGGACTCTTCTCCTCGTGATGGATCTGGTTTTTGTTCCCATCCTGCATTTTGGTGGGGCAGGTGGTAAGTCCAGACCAGCAGAGCCAGCTGGAGGTCTGGCTCTTGGCGTCAACCAGACTCTTCTCCTCACGATGGACCTGGTTTTGGTTCCCGACCTCCATCTTGTTGGAGAAGGTGGCTACTCCAAACCAGCAGAGCCAGCTGGAGGGCTGACAGGTCTGGCTCTTGGTGTCAACCAGACTCTTCTCCTCACGAAGGACCTGGTTGTTGTTCCTGACCTCCATCTTGTTGGAGCAGGTGGTTACTCCAAACCAGCAGAGCCAGCTGGAGGTCTGGCTCTTGGTGTCAACCAGACTCTTCTCTTCATGAAGAACCTGGTTTTCATTCCTGTCCTCCACCTTGGTGGAGCAGGTGGTAACTCCAAACCAGCAGAGCCAGCTGGAGGTCTGGCTCTTGGTGTCAACCAGACTCTTCTCTTCATGAAGAACCTGGTTTTCATTCCTATCCTCCACCTTGGTGGAGCAGGTGGTAACTCCAAACCAGCAGAGCCAGCTGGAGGTCTGGCTCTTGGTTTCAACCGGACGCTGCTCCTCGTGAAGGACCTGGTTGTTGTTCCCGTCCTCCATCTTGGTGGGGCAGGTGGTTAGATCAAACCAGCAGAGCCAACTGAAGGTCTGATTCTTGGTCTTCAAGGGATGCTGCTCCTCAGGAAGGGGCAGCTTTTTGCTCCAATTCCAGACCCAGCTGAGATCGCTGGAACGGCCCGGAATTGAAGACATGAAAGGAACTAAGATCAGGAAGAGAGTCAGGCTGAACTTCACCCCGTTCCCTTCCATGGTTCACTCTCAACGCACAAATGGCTGTCACAGTGAGCAGAGCTCCAGCAGTGACCACCAGGACTGAGCAACTGCTCAATGTCTCTGGGCTGGGGGGGGGCTGCCAGCATGACTTAATAAAGACTGATGTCATGCTCCACCCTGCAATGTCACAATGCCTTTGGTGCACCCAGCTTGGGGCTGTGGACCCTACACCCAAATCCCACCTCCCCTTTTTCCAATCCATCTGCACTCTGTAATTTTCATGAGCACACGAGGTCCTGGAATCAGAGGACGGCCTGGGTTGAACAGGACCACAGTGATCATGTAGTTTCAACCCCTCTGCTATGACTAGGCTGCCCAGAGCCACATCCAGCCTGGCCTTGAATACCTTTGGGGATGGGGCATTCCCAGGGCCTCCCTCCCTTTCCCAACAGATCTTTCCATAGTGTTTTGCAGCAGTTTTCCCTTTCTTGGAAGGCTCCCTTGGTGTGAGTCTCCTCTATGAAGCTGATGTGCATGGGATCTTTGCAGAACTGGCCCAGCTGAAAATTCCCAGTGTGGCCTGGATGCTTCCCAGTTTGCTGCAGGTCTCCCAGGACCTCCCTGTGTACTCTTGGGGACGCTGCATTACCTCAATGGGTGTCATGGTGTTATGATTTTTGGTTATCAGTATTCCACACCATAACATCATGTGATGCACTGGGGGGTTTGACTTCTGATGCTCGAGTTCCGAATGTTTGTCCGATGGAGAAGAACTACATTTCCCCAGGAGGCTTTGTGGTCAGTGAGGAGATACAAGTCTGTGCAAGGTCACCTGATTCCTTCTTCTTTGCCTGGTGTGCTTCGCCGTCTGCTTTTCTTCATTCACTCAACTGGACTGCACTTCTCACCTCAGCATTGTGGTGAGGCCTATCTACCATTCAGGCACACTTTCTATCTCTCTCATTCAGCTTTGCTAATACTATATTTAGTAAAATTAGTTTGTTCCACCTCAGATTATTGCCGCTCTTTTCAATTATTTTGGGGTCCCCTGTTTCCCTTTTCTGGGGGCGCGGATCCACGGATCCCTCCGCCCCGCTGGTCACGGAACCGGGCCGAACCAGCCCGTAAACCGTTGACACTGGGACATGGGCTCCTGTTCAAAATGTTCTCTCTCCCCCAGAGGCACGGCAGTCTGTGGGTACCTCACAGCCACCAATGCCTCTTTCCCCCCCCTACCCCAGCACCCTCTGCTCTCCCTAGGAACGTGTCCCCAAACCCCACACAGCAGCGCTCTCCTGCACCAATGCCTTTAGTGCTGCTGCTGTCCCGGACCCGCTGCCACCACAACGACACAGGCTGTAGCAATGATGATTTTATTCATTTCACGTCTGCTAGGAAATGGAGGTGATGATCTGGGAGAGGTTGGTGTCTACCCAGTAGAAGACATTGTTGTCATCAGAAGTGCCTTCAGCGCAGGAACCTTTGGTGGGCTGAGGCGTGTCCCGCCCCACCAGCTGACTGTTGCCATTTGACCCACAGGCTGCCAGATGGACAGAAGTGCTTCCTGGAAATCGCTCTCTGTTCCCATGGAAGCTGAGACCGTTTGTTCCCTGGAAGTGACACAGCACGGGCACAGAGAAAAGGATGCAGGCTCGTTTTGCAGGACTCTGATTCCTGCACCACTTTTCCAGCCTCACAGGACTGCTCAGGGCAGCCCGTGGGCTCACTGCACTTCTGGCAGGCCCTGTTTTGCATAGGGGTCTCCAGCTGGGTGTCAGCCCCGTAACCAGGCAAGTCTTTGGGGAGAACTGATGGACCTCTGGAGGTCTGTTTTCCTTAGAAGCGTTCACAGACCAGACCTTGGTGGTTCTCTGCTCCCCACCCGCAGTCCTCTGCATGCGTGTTGAATCTCAGCCGCGTACCACTTGCTGACGTTGCCTCCGTCTTCTCACGGTTTTGAAGATAACGTAAAGCAGACGGAGAACGCGGTAGTCTGTTAAGCGATCTCTAAGGAGACGGATCATCTGCTTAAGGAAGTCCCAAAGGTGACGCAGGGTGTCCGGCAAGCTGAAGGCCTTTTGCTCAGTGTGCTGGGACTGTTGCTTTGGGCCCTTTGGAAGGACAGACTCGCTGACCCTGTATGGGACCCATTTGGGGTGTGGAGAAAGGCCAAGCCAGAAGGGCCAGTTGGAGGCACGGCGCACAGCATGAATGGGCAGCCTCTCCTCAGGATGCACAAGTTTCTTGTCTCCATTCCAGGGACAGGTCTTCAGTCCAAACCAGCAGAGCCAGCTGGAGGGCTGACTCTTGATGTCACCCGGACTCTTCTCCTCACGAAGGACCTGGTTGTTGTTCCCATCCTGCATCTTGTTGGAGCAGGTGGCTACTCCAAACCAGCAGAGCCAGCTGGAGGGCTGACTCTTGGTGTCAGTCGGACTCTTCTCCTCGTGATGGATCTGGTTTTTGTTCCCATCCTGCATTTTGGTGGGGCAGGTGGTAAGTCCAGACCAGCAGAGCCAGCTGGAGGTCTGGCTCTTGGCGTCAACCAGACTCTTCTCCTCACGATGGACCTGGTTTTGGTTCCCGACCTCCATCTTGTTGGAGAAGGTGGCTACTCCAAACCAGCAGAGCCAGCTGGAGGGCTGACAGGTCTGGCTCTTGGTGTCAACCAGACTCTTCTCCTCACGAAGGACCTGGTTGTTGTTCCTGACCTCCATCTTGTTGGAGCAGGTGGTTACTCCAAACCAGCAGAGCCAGCTGGAGGTCTGGCTCTTGGTGTCAACCAGACTCTTCTCTTCATGAAGAACCTGGTTTTCATTCCTGTCCTCCACCTTGGTGGAGCAGGTGGTAACTCCAAACCAGCAGAGCCAGCTGGAGGTCTGGCTCTTGGTGTCAACCAGACTCTTCTCTTCATGAAGAACCTGGTTTTCATTCCTATCCTCCACCTTGGTGGAGCAGGTGGTAACTCCAAACCAGCAGAGCCAGCTGGAGGTCTGGCTCTTGGTTTCAACCGGACGCTGCTCCTCGTGAAGGACCTGGTTGTTGTTCCCGTCCTCCATCTTGGTGGGGCAGGTGGTTAGATCAAACCAGCAGAGCCAACTGAAGGTCTGATTCTTGGTCTTCAAGGGATGCTGCTCCTCAGGAAGGGGCAGCTTTTTGCTCCAATTCCAGACCCAGCTGAGATCGCTGGAACGGCCCGGAATTGAAGACATGAAAGGAACTAAGATCAGGAAGAGAGTCAGGCTGAACTTCACCCCGTTCCCTTCCATGGTTCACTCTCAACGCACAAATGGCTGTCACAGTGAGCAGAGCTCCAGCAGTGACCACCAGGACTGAGCAACTGCTCAATGTCTCTGGGCTGGGGGGGGGCTGCCAGCATGACTTAATAAAGACTGATGTCATGCTCCACCCTGCAATGTCACAATGCCTTTGGTGCACCCAGCTTGGGGCTGTGGACCCTACACCCAAATCCCACCTCCCCTTTTTCCAATCCATCTGCACTCTGTAATTTTCATGAGCACACGAGGTCCTGGAATCAGAGGACGGCCTGGGTTGAACAGGACCACAGTGATCATGTAGTTTCAACCCCTCTGCTATGACTAGGCTGCCCAGAGCCACATCCAGCCTGGCCTTGAATACCTTTGGGGATGGGGCATTCCCAGGGCCTCCCTCCCTTTCCCAACAGATCTTTCCATAGTGTTTTGCAGCAGTTTTCCCTTTCTTGGAAGGCTCCCTTGGTGTGAGTCTCCTCTATGAAGCTGATGTGCATGGGATCTTTGCAGAACTGGCCCAGCTGAAAATTCCCAGTGTGGCCTGGATGCTTCCCAGTTTGCTGCAGGTCTCCCAGGACCTCCCTGTGTACTCTTGGGGACGCTGCATTACCTCAATGGGTGTCATGGTGTTATGATTTTTGGTTATCAGTATTCCACACCATAACATCATGTGATGCACTGGGGGGTTTGACTTCTGATGCTCGAGTTCCGAATGTTTGTCCGATGGAGAAGAACTACATTTCCCCAGGAGGCTTTGTGGTCAGTGAGGAGATACAAGTCTGTGCAAGGTCACCTGATTCCTTCTTCTTTGCCTGGTGTGCTTCGCCGTCTGCTTTTCTTCATTCACTCAACTGGACTGCACTTCTCACCTCAGCATTGTGGTGAGGCCTATCTACCATTCAGGCACACTTTCTATCTCTCTCATTCAGCTTTGCTAATACTATATTTAGTAAAATTAGTTTGTTCCACCTCAGATTATTGCCGCTCTTTTCAATTATTTTGGGGTCCCCTGTTTCCCTTTTCTGGGGGCGCGGATCCACGGATCCCTCCGCCCCGCTGGTCACGGAACCGGGCCGAACCAGCCCGTAAACCGTTGACACTGGGACATGGGCTCCTGTTCAAAATGTTCTCTCTCCCCCAGAGGCACGGCAGTCTGTGGGTACCTCACAGCCACCAATGCCTCTTTCCCCCCCCTACCCCAGCACCCTCTGCTCTCCCTAGGAACGTGTCCCCAAACCCCACACAGCAGCGCTCTCCTGCACCAATGCCTTTAGTGCTGCTGCTGTCCCGGACCCGCTGCCACCACAACGACACAGGCTGTAGCAATGATGATTTTATTCATTTCACGTCTGCTAGGAAATGGAGGTGATGATCTGGGAGAGGTTGGTGTCTACCCAGTAGAAGACATTGTTGTCATCAGAAGTGCCTTCAGCGCAGGAACCTTTGGTGGGCTGAGGCGTGTCCCGCCCCACCAGCTGACTGTTGCCATTTGACCCACAGGCTGCCAGATGGACAGAAGTGCTTCCTGGAAATCGCTCTCTGTTCCCATGGAAGCTGAGACCGTTTGTTCCCTGGAAGTGACACAGCACGGGCACAGAGAAAAGGATGCAGGCTCGTTTTGCAGGACTCTGATTCCTGCACCACTTTTCCAGCCTCACAGGACTGCTCAGGGCAGCCCGTGGGCTCACTGCACTTCTGGCAGGCCCTGTTTTGCATAGGGGTCTCCAGCTGGGTGTCAGCCCCGTAACCAGGCAAGTCTTTGGGGAGAACTGATGGACCTCTGGAGGTCTGTTTTCCTTAGAAGCGTTCACAGACCAGACCTTGGTGGTTCTCTGCTCCCCACCCGCAGTCCTCTGCATGCGTGTTGAATCTCAGCCGCGTACCACTTGCTGACGTTGCCTCCGTCTTCTCACGGTTTTGAAGATAACGTAAAGCAGACGGAGAACGCGGTAGTCTGTTAAGCGATCTCTAAGGAGACGGATCATCTGCTTAAGGAAGTCCCAAAGGTGACGCAGGGTGTCCGGCAAGCTGAAGGCCTTTTGCTCAGTGTGCTGGGACTGTTGCTTTGGGCCCTTTGGAAGGACAGACTCGCTGACCCTGTATGGGACCCATTTGGGGTGTGGAGAAAGGCCAAGCCAGAAGGGCCAGTTGGAGGCACGGCGCACAGCATGAATGGGCAGCCTCTCCTCAGGATGCACAAGTTTCTTGTCTCCATTCCAGGGACAGGTCTTCAGTCCAAACCAGCAGAGCCAGCTGGAGGGCTGACTCTTGATGTCACCCGGACTCTTCTCCTCACGAAGGACCTGGTTGTTGTTCCCATCCTGCATCTTGTTGGAGCAGGTGGCTACTCCAAACCAGCAGAGCCAGCTGGAGGGCTGACTCTTGGTGTCAGTCGGACTCTTCTCCTCGTGATGGATCTGGTTTTTGTTCCCATCCTGCATTTTGGTGGGGCAGGTGGTAAGTCCAGACCAGCAGAGCCAGCTGGAGGTCTGGCTCTTGGCGTCAACCAGACTCTTCTCCTCACGATGGACCTGGTTTTGGTTCCCGACCTCCATCTTGTTGGAGAAGGTGGCTACTCCAAACCAGCAGAGCCAGCTGGAGGGCTGACAGGTCTGGCTCTTGGTGTCAACCAGACTCTTCTCCTCACGAAGGACCTGGTTGTTGTTCCTGACCTCCATCTTGTTGGAGCAGGTGGTTACTCCAAACCAGCAGAGCCAGCTGGAGGTCTGGCTCTTGGTGTCAACCAGACTCTTCTCTTCATGAAGAACCTGGTTTTCATTCCTGTCCTCCACCTTGGTGGAGCAGGTGGTAACTCCAAACCAGCAGAGCCAGCTGGAGGTCTGGCTCTTGGTGTCAACCAGACTCTTCTCTTCATGAAGAACCTGGTTTTCATTCCTATCCTCCACCTTGGTGGAGCAGGTGGTAACTCCAAACCAGCAGAGCCAGCTGGAGGTCTGGCTCTTGGTTTCAACCGGACGCTGCTCCTCGTGAAGGACCTGGTTGTTGTTCCCGTCCTCCATCTTGGTGGGGCAGGTGGTTAGATCAAACCAGCAGAGCCAACTGAAGGTCTGATTCTTGGTCTTCAAGGGATGCTGCTCCTCAGGAAGGGGCAGCTTTTTGCTCCAATTCCAGACCCAGCTGAGATCGCTGGAACGGCCCGGAATTGAAGACATGAAAGGAACTAAGATCAGGAAGAGAGTCAGGCTGAACTTCACCCCGTTCCCTTCCATGGTTCACTCTCAACGCACAAATGGCTGTCACAGTGAGCAGAGCTCCAGCAGTGACCACCAGGACTGAGCAACTGCTCAATGTCTCTGGGCTGGGGGGGGGCTGCCAGCATGACTTAATAAAGACTGATGTCATGCTCCACCCTGCAATGTCACAATGCCTTTGGTGCACCCAGCTTGGGGCTGTGGACCCTACACCCAAATCCCACCTCCCCTTTTTCCAATCCATCTGCACTCTGTAATTTTCATGAGCACACGAGGTCCTGGAATCAGAGGACGGCCTGGGTTGAACAGGACCACAGTGATCATGTAGTTTCAACCCCTCTGCTATGACTAGGCTGCCCAGAGCCACATCCAGCCTGGCCTTGAATACCTTTGGGGATGGGGCATTCCCAGGGCCTCCCTCCCTTTCCCAACAGATCTTTCCATAGTGTTTTGCAGCAGTTTTCCCTTTCTTGGAAGGCTCCCTTGGTGTGAGTCTCCTCTATGAAGCTGATGTGCATGGGATCTTTGCAGAACTGGCCCAGCTGAAAATTCCCAGTGTGGCCTGGATGCTTCCCAGTTTGCTGCAGGTCTCCCAGGACCTCCCTGTGTACTCTTGGGGACGCTGCATTACCTCAATGGGTGTCATGGTGTTATGATTTTTGGTTATCAGTATTCCACACCATAACATCATGTGATGCACTGGGGGGTTTGACTTCTGATGCTCGAGTTCCGAATGTTTGTCCGATGGAGAAGAACTACATTTCCCCAGGAGGCTTTGTGGTCAGTGAGGAGATACAAGTCTGTGCAAGGTCACCTGATTCCTTCTTCTTTGCCTGGTGTGCTTCGCCGTCTGCTTTTCTTCATTCACTCAACTGGACTGCACTTCTCACCTCAGCATTGTGGTGAGGCCTATCTACCATTCAGGCACACTTTCTATCTCTCTCATTCAGCTTTGCTAATACTATATTTAGTAAAATTAGTTTGTTCCACCTCAGATTATTGCCGCTCTTTTCAATTATTTTGGGGTCCCCTGTTTCCCTTTTCTGGGGGCGCGGATCCACGGATCCCTCCGCCCCGCTGGTCACGGAACCGGGCCGAACCAGCCCGTAAACCGTTGACACTGGGACATGGGCTCCTGTTCAAAATGTTCTCTCTCCCCCAGAGGCACGGCAGTCTGTGGGTACCTCACAGCCACCAATGCCTCTTTCCCCCCCCTACCCCAGCACCCTCTGCTCTCCCTAGGAACGTGTCCCCAAACCCCACACAGCAGCGCTCTCCTGCACCAATGCCTTTAGTGCTGCTGCTGTCCCGGACCCGCTGCCACCACAACGACACAGGCTGTAGCAATGATGATTTTATTCATTTCACGTCTGCTAGGAAATGGAGGTGATGATCTGGGAGAGGTTGGTGTCTACCCAGTAGAAGACATTGTTGTCATCAGAAGTGCCTTCAGCGCAGGAACCTTTGGTGGGCTGAGGCGTGTCCCGCCCCACCAGCTGACTGTTGCCATTTGACCCACAGGCTGCCAGATGGACAGAAGTGCTTCCTGGAAATCGCTCTCTGTTCCCATGGAAGCTGAGACCGTTTGTTCCCTGGAAGTGACACAGCACGGGCACAGAGAAAAGGATGCAGGCTCGTTTTGCAGGACTCTGATTCCTGCACCACTTTTCCAGCCTCACAGGACTGCTCAGGGCAGCCCGTGGGCTCACTGCACTTCTGGCAGGCCCTGTTTTGCATAGGGGTCTCCAGCTGGGTGTCAGCCCCGTAACCAGGCAAGTCTTTGGGGAGAACTGATGGACCTCTGGAGGTCTGTTTTCCTTAGAAGCGTTCACAGACCAGACCTTGGTGGTTCTCTGCTCCCCACCCGCAGTCCTCTGCATGCGTGTTGAATCTCAGCCGCGTACCACTTGCTGACGTTGCCTCCGTCTTCTCACGGTTTTGAAGATAACGTAAAGCAGACGGAGAACGCGGTAGTCTGTTAAGCGATCTCTAAGGAGACGGATCATCTGCTTAAGGAAGTCCCAAAGGTGACGCAGGGTGTCCGGCAAGCTGAAGGCCTTTTGCTCAGTGTGCTGGGACTGTTGCTTTGGGCCCTTTGGAAGGACAGACTCGCTGACCCTGTATGGGACCCATTTGGGGTGTGGAGAAAGGCCAAGCCAGAAGGGCCAGTTGGAGGCACGGCGCACAGCATGAATGGGCAGCCTCTCCTCAGGATGCACAAGTTTCTTGTCTCCATTCCAGGGACAGGTCTTCAGTCCAAACCAGCAGAGCCAGCTGGAGGGCTGACTCTTGATGTCACCCGGACTCTTCTCCTCACGAAGGACCTGGTTGTTGTTCCCATCCTGCATCTTGTTGGAGCAGGTGGCTACTCCAAACCAGCAGAGCCAGCTGGAGGGCTGACTCTTGGTGTCAGTCGGACTCTTCTCCTCGTGATGGATCTGGTTTTTGTTCCCATCCTGCATTTTGGTGGGGCAGGTGGTAAGTCCAGACCAGCAGAGCCAGCTGGAGGTCTGGCTCTTGGCGTCAACCAGACTCTTCTCCTCACGATGGACCTGGTTTTGGTTCCCGACCTCCATCTTGTTGGAGAAGGTGGCTACTCCAAACCAGCAGAGCCAGCTGGAGGGCTGACAGGTCTGGCTCTTGGTGTCAACCAGACTCTTCTCCTCACGAAGGACCTGGTTGTTGTTCCTGACCTCCATCTTGTTGGAGCAGGTGGTTACTCCAAACCAGCAGAGCCAGCTGGAGGTCTGGCTCTTGGTGTCAACCAGACTCTTCTCTTCATGAAGAACCTGGTTTTCATTCCTGTCCTCCACCTTGGTGGAGCAGGTGGTAACTCCAAACCAGCAGAGCCAGCTGGAGGTCTGGCTCTTGGTGTCAACCAGACTCTTCTCTTCATGAAGAACCTGGTTTTCATTCCTATCCTCCACCTTGGTGGAGCAGGTGGTAACTCCAAACCAGCAGAGCCAGCTGGAGGTCTGGCTCTTGGTTTCAACCGGACGCTGCTCCTCGTGAAGGACCTGGTTGTTGTTCCCGTCCTCCATCTTGGTGGGGCAGGTGGTTAGATCAAACCAGCAGAGCCAACTGAAGGTCTGATTCTTGGTCTTCAAGGGATGCTGCTCCTCAGGAAGGGGCAGCTTTTTGCTCCAATTCCAGACCCAGCTGAGATCGCTGGAACGGCCCGGAATTGAAGACATGAAAGGAACTAAGATCAGGAAGAGAGTCAGGCTGAACTTCACCCCGTTCCCTTCCATGGTTCACTCTCAACGCACAAATGGCTGTCACAGTGAGCAGAGCTCCAGCAGTGACCACCAGGACTGAGCAACTGCTCAATGTCTCTGGGCTGGGGGGGGGCTGCCAGCATGACTTAATAAAGACTGATGTCATGCTCCACCCTGCAATGTCACAATGCCTTTGGTGCACCCAGCTTGGGGCTGTGGACCCTACACCCAAATCCCACCTCCCCTTTTTCCAATCCATCTGCACTCTGTAATTTTCATGAGCACACGAGGTCCTGGAATCAGAGGACGGCCTGGGTTGAACAGGACCACAGTGATCATGTAGTTTCAACCCCTCTGCTATGACTAGGCTGCCCAGAGCCACATCCAGCCTGGCCTTGAATACCTTTGGGGATGGGGCATCTACAACCTACTTGGGCAGTCTGGCTGTAGAGGGAAAAAAAAATTACATTTAACATGGAAGAGTGTATGAAGCAAAAGTTTGTCATTGAATTCCCCCATGTGGAAAAAATGGCACCAATTGTCATTCATCTATGGTTTCTGAATGTTTATGGAGGCCTAACAGTGGGTGTGAGAACAGTGAGCTGGTTACTGGTGTGGTTCAGCAGTGTTGACAGCAGTGTGAAAGATGAGCCGCATTCCATGTGGCCGTGCAGATTTTTACAAGCATAGCATGCAGGCTCTTGTTCATCAGTGGCAAAAATGTACAGCTGTCAACGGTTTACGGGCTGGTTCGGCCCGGTTCCGTGACCAGCGGGGCGGAGGGATCCATGGATCTGCGCCTCCCGAAAAGGGAAACGGGGGACCCCAAAATAATTGAAAAGAGCGGCAATAATCTGAGGTGGAACAAACTAATTTATTAAATATAGTATCAGCAAAATATAATGAGAGAGAGAGAGTGTGTCTGAAAGGTGGATACTGCAACGCTGAGGTGAGAAGTGCAGTCCAGTTGAGCAGATGGAGAAAAGCAGACGGAGAAGAGCAGGTGAAGAAGAGAGCATCAGGTGACCTTGCCGGGAGTTATATCTCCTCGCTGACGGCAAAGCCTCCTGGGGAAATGTAGTTCTTCGGACAGGCACCTAGAACTTGAGCATCAGCAGTCAAATCCCCAGTGCATTACGTGATGTTATGGTGTGGAATACTGATAACCAAAAATCATAAAACCATGACACTATTTTTTGTGACTATACTGAAAGAGTGTTTTATAGCTGAGAATTTGTTCTATTGTGTAGTGTTATTGTGCTCTCTCTACCAGTTGTTTCCATGGAAATAAATAGGCATTACTTCTAACGCAACCTACCTAATACTAATAACTTTCTATCAAAATATAGGCTAATCACTAAGCAAGGGAAGCAACTAAATTCTTCAGCTGCTCTGTTCTGCAGTGCTACCTAAGGAGTGCAGAGTGCCTTATTTCATTAGGCTTCAAAGTATGACACAGAATACAGCAGATAAAAAAATCAGCAAGACAAGATGGACTTTACTAAGAAACATTTTTTATGTTTAGAAACACTTCTGTACTCTACAATGGATTTAATTGGGAAAGAGTACTAAGAATCATACAAGTAGAAATTAGCATTCAATTTATCTGTCATAAGAAAAAACCCATCTAGCCAGTCTTTAAAGGCTGCTGTCCCACAGAAAAGCTTAGAAGGGAGAGGAAACTCATTTAAGGCTTTCACCTGAAAGTGAATAAAGGAGAAATCAGTGCTGATATGTTGCAAGGGAGAAATCAAAGTCTCTCAGGTTATTTTAATTGAAGTTGGCATTTGACTCTTTTACCCAACGTAAAAAGGCTTGCACGGTTATGTCTATTTGAATGCATACTATTAGAGATCAAACATTCATCAGCTGTTTTTACTGAAGATATCATTAGCATTTTGTTAATCAGGTATGTTATTACATGAAGTTGATTGTACCACTTCACATTCCTGGAGGAAAATATCAAGACTGGCATCAGAAGATATACCAGGGCTAGAAGAAGAGAATAAGCATGGGATGAAGCCGAAGATGAGGGAAAAATAAAGCATGTGTAATAGTTAGGAAAATAATGTTCAATTGCTTGTTCAGACTTTCTGAGAAATAGCATCTATGATTCCTATGTCACCCCATTTTCTTTAAGCAGATTTCCTTATTAGTAGGTATCTGCCTGTACTAGAGATTGTTCATCAAGTATGTAACATT